ATACGGTTCAAAGACGGAGCAGGAGCTGTGAGAGTTATAGATGCCTACAGTATTTGGCCAAATTTGAATTGAGATTTTAACGATTTACATTTAGACATTTAGCAGATGCTTTTATCCAAAGTGACTTACAAGAGGGGGATTAACGATCAAGCTACATAGAGGAACTCTTGGAAAGAGACTGCTATTTAGTTTAACAAGACGGCAGTTCCTATTTCAAATGCAGGGATTGAACAAAGTTTTTGCTGAATTTTAGGATATTTTAAGCTGTTTTGTAGTTTTGAATTTGCAGATAATTCTGTGGGTTTTTTTTCCTTGCTGCAGGGTCAAGAGTTTGACTGCAGATTCTGTCAGCCCACGTTTCCCCTGCTAATACTCTACATGTAGAGTATTGTGTGTAGACGCTTCCAATTGTTAGAAAGATTTCGAGAAAGTACATGCCGTCTTTTTTTTCTTTTTTTAAATAAATCAGGTCTTTATAGTATCACTGAGGCTTCTCGGTGGAAGATGTGGTTGTGCTCTTGTCTTACAGCAATAAGATGACTTTCTGGATGGATGGATGGAGTTTGCATGTTCTCCACGTCTTTCTTAGAATAGTTTCCTCCAACATTCCAAAAACATGGGATTTAGTTGTTAGTTGACACTCTAAATTAGTGGCCCGCTTTTTTCCATTCCTTCTCCGTGTGTGTGTGTGTGTGTGTTTTGGTCAGCAGGCGTGAATGGGCTGTCATCTATCTCCCAGTGATAGGCTTTCAGAGAGAATGGCACATTTTTACTTTCGATTTTCAAGCAGAACACTGGACCGATACTTCCATCGGTACTTCCCAGCTACTGGCAGTAGAAGCTTAGTTTGAATTTCTGATATCTGTGTTTTGGATCTTTGCAGGTTTTTGAGTTTATGTCCTGCCCTCGCCTGTTAACTAAATGGGACCTTTAATTCATCGAAAGGATTAAATTGAAGAAAATTAATGAACTCATTCATGTTTTTTCTCTGTCTTTAACATATGTGATGAAAAGCATTCAATGTATTTTTGTTGTTTTTGTCAAATGTACAAATGTTTAACACAATGTTGTTGCCAGTGAGACAAGGAAACGACAGAGACGCTGAGACAGTGGCCAAACTGCGTAACAACAAACAAAGCTGGCAGGAAGACTTCTTTTTATAGATGTTAATTCCAGAGCAGTCTGTCTCATTAGTAAGCAATCTGTTGCTGTACAGAAGGAGAACAATATTTATTGCCACTACGACAATAAACATGATGCCGTTTCTTCAAGGTACTAAAGTGAAATGTGAGACAATGACGGCGTTGGTGAATTGACTTTACCTACAGTGGTCCAAACATGCAGTGTGTTGGCTGGTGGTTAATGCTTAATGTTCAGAAAATATGTACTCAAGAACTTTGGGATCATTTACTGGATGATAGTGGTATAGTCTAGTATGGGTATGTATTGTCAATATAATCTAATATATATTCATTATGTCCCGAAACTTCACAACTATGGCTTCACAACATATCTACATTAAAATCTAATATATATTCATTATGTCCCGAAACGTCACAACTATGGCTAACATATCTACATTAAATGGGAATATTGAGTTTTTATAGTTAACAAAAGTCTTTCCAACACGAGACATGTTAAAAACAAAAGGTTTGAACGTATTCTGACTTAACTGTGTGTGCTTTATGTCAATAGTTAAACGCCAAGAAGTGGACCTGGAACAGGAACATCTACAGGTGATGCACGTACGTCTGTCTTGGAACTGGGCCAGGCAGCTATGGAGCTGCACCGCTGCTGTTTTCTCAGTCCACAAGCCTCGCAACTGAGTGACGATCTGCACGACTAGGTGATGTAAGTCATATGATTTATTTTACCCCTGAGTTGTGTTTTTGGTGCGGCTCCGCTGGGTGTGCTGCGTGTGTGTATTGAGGTTAAACAGAGGCATGTGGAAAGCAGTCCTGTGCTTTATCTCAACGTGTTTTCTTAAACAAAAAAGGAATGGAAAGACATGTTCACACCTTTATTTATTGGTGCTGATCCTCACTGCTGCACAGCTCCAGTGAAAGCAATAGTGTGGCTGTGGAGCAGACATTGTGCAGCCAAAGAGCTGAAAACCTACGGTGTGCGGGGGGGGGGGGGGGGGGGCACTTTCATTTGTTTTCACTTCCTGTCCAAATGGAGTTTGAGAGATGAATCACTGACGCCTGTGAGAGGCCTCTGAAGTGGCTGAAAAATGGGAAAAGTTAATTTTTTCCCCCTGAAGTATTGGAAAAATATTAGAATACATAACTTCGGTTCTGACCATTTTTATCCAATTTCGACTTTTTTGCTTATTTTTTTTCAGGCATATATCAGGCGTAGAGCCTTATTTTCATATACTTTCTATATACGTGTTTTGCTTTCTCTCTATATTCACTCATCTGCCTCTCTGGCCATCTGCTGTCTGTCCTCTGCACCATGGTGCGTGCCCATGCTGCTTTTACTTTGTCAAACCTGCCTAGAAAGTCAGTGAAAGTGATAAATGAGCTGTGACTCAGAGACCTGGTATGTCCAGTCTGATGGGCAGACTGTCACTTACCTATCACAGGGTGTGGTCATTTCCTCTAATGGCCAAAACAGACCAACCTCAGACTTCACAGGCCTGTTAGTTCCCTTCTCTCTGCCATCCCATCATCCTCTGGGGCCCTACGCTGCTCTGCCACGCTAAACATCTCTTTGTTGTTACCTTTCATGTGGATGTATCTGCCACCTCTGTCAGTCCATCCGGTGAGTTATGGGACTACAGGAGGTCATGGCCGAGACCCCTCCCCACTTGGCGTGAAATGCGCCCAACAAGCGCATCCAGGAATTACACAGAGATTGGACACACTGGCAAAATATCTAAGAGCAGTGCCCTCGTAAAGGCCACCGTGGCCCAGGAAGGTGTGAAAGGGTTACAAGCCCATCTGTTTCCAAAACAGATTTTTTTTAGTCTCTTTGAGGTGACAACCTTAAAACGTGCTCAAATTCCCTTCTAACTTTGACCGGGAGTCAGAGGATGGAAAGATATATAACTTTTTCAGAAAACAATCTTTCAGTCCTTGGGGAAATTAAGTGTTACTCGGCATATCATCATCGTGTATTAATATACAGTACACAAAGTAGCAACAGGATTGTATTTTGTATCATTTTTGTACATACAGTATATCAGGTTAAAGTATTAAGTTGGTTAAAAAACCAAAAGCCCATTTTGCCCAGCAGCCTTGAGGAGGCTGTTTTTGTTTCACTGCAGGAGATTTCAGCATGTTTTATAGGAGAGAACCAAAGCTTGTTAGTGTCTGCGTTATTTAAGGGTCTGGACTAAAAAAAAATCACTTTGGTTACTGGATCCTAGATGAAAGGCAGAGGACAGGAACACTGCAGCCACTCCCAAGCACAGCATGGTGGCAGTGCTATGTGAACGCTGCTGCCTCTTTACGTGCAGCAGAGTGTGTGGGTGCCATTGCAGAGTAAAGTATTTGTTTCTCCGTTTCTTTACTTGCAGGACATTTTTTGTGTCCCTGTCTTTATATTTTGATGCCACCATGTTTTTGTAAAATAAATTATCTTAGTTTTTTTTTTTTGGATTTACTTTAAAAATGTACAGAAATAGTGTCAGTGTGTCTCCAGAGGTTCCTCATGTGTAATCCACCTGCAGGGTGCACTGTTGCTGAAGGATCCAACAGGGGCTTTATCCTAATGAACACTGTTCCACAATTACAATCTCCATGCATCACTATAGTTGGTGCCACACTAAGAAAAGTCACCGTAGTCATGAATGTAGAGAAAAAAGGAAGTAATGGGTTTTATTAAAGTCCTTAATATTAAAATTGATTCAAGAACACTCATACAAAAACTACTTAGTAACAAAAAGGGGAAACAAGGAAGACTAATATTTAGCGAATCAACAGCATGAGGTTAAATATTTCCTCCATGTATGATTGAAGTAGCTGAGGCCGTTCTATTGTTTTCCCGTCAAAAAAGTGAGATAACCCTTGAACCATTTCCTTGGCCCCTCTGGGAACAGAGGAAACAGTGAGGTGTTTGACTGGATTAGGTGCTCTCTCAGGAATTACAAAAGTAGAACATAGTCTGTACAGCGTGCTTGGGATTTGTGTAACACAAGGCACCAAGTTTCCACTGCCTAAAATGTAGAAGCTGATCCAGGTAAGTTTGTTTAACTGTTGTTTAAAAAATGTGAATTGAAGGCTGTGAATTCCACAAACCTGAGGACACCGTGGTATTTAAGGTTTATGCATATGGAGCAGCCCAGACATTAGTATGTGACAGAGGTTGTGGGATTTGCACTGTGGGACATTTCCTGGTATGCATACCACTGCCCTAATAATGAGAGGAAGAGCTATTTTTCAGAAGCATTGTTGTGTTGTAGACCTTTGAGACACCACAGGAGGAGAGTCCTGTGACTGTGCTGTGGTCAAGTAAAGAAGTACTGGCGTAAGTGGAAGTGGCCTGGACAATGAGCATTAGTCCACCCTTCCCATAGTAAACCTGATTTCCTGTAGGACTTTTTTTTTTACCTGCACCTTTAAAAATCTATGAATGGTGTTTTTTTTCTTTTTTTAAGAGGCTTTTAAAGGTCATTGACAAAAAGCATTGGTACTCAAAGTGCAGCCTTGATTTAACAACTGGTTTCCATGTTGTCATGTTTTTAGTCAGTGTCTGTTTTTCTTCTGTGACTCGAGCCAAACAAGCTGTGCTGGAAGAAAAACGGTATTTTCTTATCATATTAAGTTATTTGTTTTAGTTCACTTGGACAGGATAATGCTGCGCCTATTCACTCACTTACACATTGGCTTGTCTAGCAGGATGTGGAATGGAAGGATGACTCTGAACAGAGAACCTTTGCTTTTATTAATCCCTCAGGGATTTTCTAAGGTCAGCTAAACTTGGCCAGTTTCCATGTCACATGTGTCTGTTTGGGCTAGTGCGTCTGTATCATCGGGATGAGGCTGCTGCGGGCGTTTCAGTGATGTAGGCCAAAGAGCCACTGATGCAATGATACTGCACTGGATCCATTCAGGCAGAGATGTCCTTCATTAGTCAATAGCTTAGTAAAATGCCAGCTGTGGTTAGTGTAAATGCTAAGCCTCCTTGGTATTGTAGGTGAATCAATAGTGTAGCGTCATGTGAGGCTAAAGAACTGACAAAGTAGAACCTAAAGTGAGCTTGTCATGGTTGAAAGCTGCTTGTGCGTTGTACAAAATCATGTTTATAAAATCAATGGTTTCAAGCACAGATAAGCACATCGATCACTAAAATAAGAGGAGCTGCCCCCTGTTGCCAGCTGGCTTTGTGCTAAACTTCTATTTTTAGAAGTGCCCCTAGCTGCAGATGGAGGCAGGGCATCAGGGACCTATTCAGAGTTAGAAAGTAAACTGACCCCAAGGTCGGTTCACAATAAGTGGATGCTTTGAAATTGTTTTTAAAGCTTTGTCATAGTTCTGCCTCCCTCTGTTACCAGTTCAGAGTGAATGAACAAAGCTATTTTGTTTTCTTCATCTTTTTGTTTGTACATCATGAATAAAGCTTGTGTTTTTTGTTTCTCAAGAGAGACTAGAATAATAAAAAAAGTTATATAGACTCAATTTAACTGTTGCAAAACTATGTTGGCAGTGTTTCAAGATTTAGTGCAAAACATGACCCCCTTTATGCTTTTCATGTTACTTGATCCAACCTGTTAAGTGCATTCTACATCAGCCTGCAAGTCCAACAGGAAATACCACAGGATGCCAGACAGAGTAACCCAATAAAAGCTAGCGCGCCCAAATCATTAGTGGGGAAACACACACGCATAACACATCCAGATGTACAGGCTAATAGGATTTAACCATCAAATCAACAGCTGTAGCGTCTTTATGCTTTCATACGACTGACCACAAGGTGAACGGAAAATGGACATTTTTTAAACTACAAAGCGTTACCTGCGGCTCTTATTGGGTACAAACTTTGTACTCAGTGCTGATTTAAAACCTTTAATTTGTTATTTTACATCTGTCCATCTGGTAAGTGTTTTCATTGTACAACATAACTTTTTTTTTTAATAACATTTTTTGAAAAGATGCCTGTGTAACACTCCAAAAAAGGGGGGGTAGTTTATTTTGCATAATCTTGCTGCACAAAGACTTTAATGCTCTTTTGTTGCTATTATCTAAATCTTTTATTTAATTTAATTATTTAATTAAAAAAAAAGAATACTTGGAGGCAGACAGAGAAAGGAGGCAGATGCTCCATGTGTCAGATGTCTGACAGATGTCTGGGCCTGGGCGATAACGTTGTGTGCCTCACTGGTATAGGAAGCCTAAGCAATGGTGACTCTTCAGAAGATGATGTAAGAGGGGAGGTAAGCATTGTGGGAATTGTTGTGGAGAGGTTGTTTCCCATCTGAACCAGGGCTGCCCTCAAACCTGTGGCTTGGCCACCAGAGAGAAAGGACATGGTTACATGACGAAGCTGCTGTTAGTACTGTATGTGGCCCCTGTCTGGGGGAAGAAAGTCCCCACTGAGCAGAAGGAACGAGCACCTGATGATCACATCCGCTGCAGCCGTCCTGGGATGTCATGATGAAACCCTGCATACACTCAGACAGGAAGACAAGCTTGAACAGAGATATGGATGAAAACAATTCTCCTAATGAACAAGTATCAATTAGGCTATGGACCTCACTCTGTGATCAATTTATTTAACAACAGGCCACCCCCCCCACCCCCCCACCCCCAGCACTTCCTGTCTATCTCCTAGGCACCACCTCATGAGACCTTTGAAGTTCAGAGTACAGGGAACAACAAAACATGACTCACTCCCTCCCACATGGA